TTTGTGAAACGTGAGGGGGTGTACTCAATGTCTGCAATATACTGTATCTTGGACCCAAGCCATTTATGGCTTTGTAGATTACAACCAGTACTTTGAATTGTGCCCAGAAACCGATTGGCAGCCAGTAGAGCTGCTGTAACAAGGGTTCTATGTTCCCTGCAACCAGATCTAATTAACAATCTGGCAATAGTATTTTGGACCCTTTGGACTTTCCGAACACTTTCTAAACATAGGCCCACACAGAACATGTTACAGTAATCCAACTGAGATGTAACTCGGGCATAAGTCTCCATGGCCAGATCAGACCTTTCAAGATTTGGGCATATGTCTCCATGGCCAGATCAGACCTTTCAAGAAACAGGTCCAGCTGATGCACTAGTTCTAACTGTGCACTCCTGGCCACTGCTGACACCTGGACATCCAGGCTCAGAGGTGAATGCAGGAACACCCCCAAGTTGAGGACCTGTATTTTCAGAGGGAATGTAACTCCCTCCAGCACAGGCTGCAACCCTATTCCCTGATTTAGTTTTCAACTGACCAGGAGCACCTGTCAAAGTCCAAGATATCACAGGGAGCCTCTCACCAGGGGCAAGGGCACAAGGACCCAGTCCACCATGCAGGGTATTGAGTCCAAAGACACTCACTGTGTAGCTGGTCATGACCAAGCAGAGGCAGGAGCACCAGGTTGGGAGCCAGGTTGCAGGACCAGGAGCACGGAGCCAGAACAAGGCACCAAGATGCAAGAGACCTGCAGAAATAAGCACAGACCAAGGCAGGAGCAGGAACACTGGAGTCCAGATGCAGAGATGCAGGAGACCTACTCAGCCGCTTTTATAAGCCAGGATGGGCAAGGGTCTAGCAGACAAGTGGTAGCCTTCACCGCTCCAAGGACCCTGCCCACATCGTCAGGCTGCAAAAACTGAAACTTATCCATCAACACAGGACAAGCAGGAGCCATAGTTGCCTCTACAGGACCTGTATTAACGACAGCATCCAAATCAGAGCAGATCCAAGCGATTTTGCCTGCGAAGTGCTGTGCAAATTTTTCACGGCAAGCTACTGAGTGCTCAGTACTATCTATCTTCCTGTGGGCCACGATACAACAGGTGACTGACCACTTGAAAAAGCTCCACTGGGCGGCTTTGTGCAGGCACAATGGCGGTGGCAAAAAATGGCTTCTTTGCCATGACCACTGCCACAGAATAGGCCTTCCCCTGGGCTCTAGCCCGTGTTCAGTCAGATTCACTCAGAGTTTTCTGCCACTGACGTTTTCTGGCTAGGACCCCTGGAAAATGTAGTCACCAACCTCTGGAAGGCTAAACTTCACCTAATCTTGCTCTAGAGGGTTTCCCGTTAATTCAGATGCCTGTTTACAGGGGAGATATTTGCTGGTGGTATACAGTATTTATTTATTTATTTATTTA